TCTGATGGGCAGCGCCCACCTCCCTTGGTGAGTCCAGTCCAGCTGCTCACGGAGGTCTTGTCGAGCCTCTTCCTGAGCTTTCAGTCCCCGTGACTTCCTGTGTCAGATCACAGTTCACATGTTGCTGGCCTTCGGTTTTTAGGACGGCAAGTTGAGATTATACTTGCTTCCTTTATGACTCAAGGAGATTTAGAGCCTGTCACTGTACCTGATATTTTGAACCAGAGGATGTTTAGGGCCCTTGACGTATTTTTATATTCCTCTGCAGTCCTATGAAAGTAATGCATGCATGCCCTAAATCAAATAGCTCAGGAGGAAAATATGTTGGGAAGGATATAACATGAAACTTAAAATGTCTCCACTTTTATCTAGATACTAGTTCAGGTTTTCAGTCTTCTAGTTATTGTCTTGCTTATTCTAAATAATTCTATTTCTCTGCTTATGAAGTTTAAGCACAAGTTATTGAATTGTCCCTATGTGAGATGAGGAATTTAGCTGACTGACAGTAATTCTTCTGCTGTTCTCATGATTTGTCCAGCTTTAGCTACTTATATTTTTAATTTGGTTCCCACTTGATTCCATGCATAGTTTTAAGGAATAGACTTATACTTGCATTCCTTGATCCAACGACCTTCCTTAAAATGTCTTGATTCTCCAAGTGTTCAGGATGAGGAAGTTGGTATCTCCGACCTTCCCTTTATCTTTTCTTTCCAATTCTCGCTTGCAATAAAATTTTATAACATTTATCACATTTGAATTCTATTCTGTAATTATAATTAATACTGCTTTATCTATAAGGATGGTTGTTGAAATTAAAAACTAATATAGCTTTTATTATATAATGGTTTTATAGCTACTAGACTCTAAAACCAACTAGAATATTTGGACCCATAGAGAAGGGGATACACTCTGATATCACCGACATTCTGCCGCATGAAAGAGAATGTCCTAAGTGTCACGGTCAAGCAGACTCTTCTTTCCCAGCTTTATATTATGCCAGCAGCTCAAACCATTTAGTTGGCTTCATGTAAAACATGACTTTCTGAAGAATGATATGTTTTGATGGAATTTCTAATTACTTTTCTTTTTAAAATATTTTTATTTTTGTTCAGTTACAGTTGTCCCATTTTCCCCCATTGCTCTCCCCTGCCCTACCTACCCCCCATCTCCCACGTCCAGTCCTCCCCCACTTTGTCTTTGTCCACAGGTCCTTTATACATATTCCTTGACCCTTCCCCTTCTTTCTTTTTTACCTATTAAGAAACCAGTTTCTTAATCATATTCTTTGCTACAGATGTTTACTTTATTCTTGAAGGATTTTTGTGAGTGCTCTCTGACCTCTAGTTGTAGACAAATCAATTGCTTTTTAAGCCAATTGAGATGCAATCATCCTGAATTTTGTGTTTGTTTTTTTTTTTATTGCACTTAGGCTATGTACACTATGTCTTGTATTCCATGCACATTTCATTTTTTGGATTCTATTTTCATCTTTTGGGAGCATATGCTCAAATAATGTTTTTGTTAAGAGTCATTAGTGTCTGAAACATTTGTCTTCATACTTGATTATTAGTAAAGCTTGGAAAATAATTGCACTTAGCCAATTTAGTTCTTTAGTTTTCCATGCAGTGCAATCTATTTTCTGTAAAGAAATTTTCCAAATTAAGTATTTTTGGTATAAATTTCACAATGAAGATTTGAACTTTACCAATTATTGTGTGTGCCATATTGATTTTTATTCATTTAGTTAATTTTGCATGTGTGGCCTTCATTTCCACAGTTCAATTTTCCTGAGTCTACTTTTATCCAAAGTTGTTGGAATATGTTTAAGGGACATAATAAAAGCAACATAGTATCTTTAAACACACTAAGGGCAATGTGATGTTCACAATATGTGGGCCATATGTCATTGAATATTTTATTATTCTATGAGCCCTTGCTGGTGTGGCTCACTAGACTAAGTGCCGGCCTGGGAACTGAAAAGTTGCTGGTTCAATTCCCAGTTAGGGCACATGCCTGGGTTGTGGGCCAGGTCCCCAGTATGGGGCATGCGAGAGGCAAAGCATACATTGATGTTTCTCTCCTTCCCCTCTCTATAAAAATAAATAAATAAAATCTTTTAAGAATATTTGATTCTTCTATCACCTTTTTTCAGTTATTAAGAAAATTATACTGCATGTGATTTTATTTTGTCAGATTTATTTGAGTTGATGATTTTTATTATCAACTCAAAGTCCTGTATTTCCTGGATCAGTTGTTGCAGTATTCAATGTTACTTTTAAGATGTGGTTCTTCAGTTATTTCATCATGTATACCAAACTTTAATGTGTGAATTTTCAAAAGTTGTGAGTTTTATTTTGTGTTATTTATTTCTATCAAGTCTCTTTCCCTCAAGAATCCAGGAAAAATATCCCCAGGGCCTGAATAGCAGGGCCAGAGTGTCCAGTTTCTCCTTTAGTAGCCTCCTTATATGGTAGCAGCTCTCCACTTGATTCCTTGCTGTGACTTAGCATAAGGTCCGGTTTCCGGCATCCAGGGTCTTTCTTAGCTCATTCATTTCAGAGGATCAATTAGCATCCATATGCCTTTGACCGCAAAATGCTTCACGCCTATCTTGAATCCCTATCTTTCATGAGCTCTAGAGCCAAACACAGTAGAGTCTCATTATACACCAACTTAATTTATACACATTCAATTACATATGTTTATGAGAGACAGAGGAATGGAATGGGAGGTAAGAAGAATGGAGGGGACAGAGAGTAATTAAGTAATATGGCCAATCCCATCATCCAGACAAATCTGTAATGAATGAAAGGGACAGAATGCAGTGAACCTACAGTTAACTTGTTTCATTTCAGTTGACATATGGCCCACATATTGTGAACAGCACATTGCCCTTAGTGTGTTTAAAGATACTATGTTGCTTTTATTATGTCCCTTCAACACATTCCAACAACTTTGGGGATTAACTGAAGAAAGTAATTGGTTCTGGCAGTGGAAGAAAAGTTGGCTGTATTGAATTTGTTGACCAATGAGTTGGGATGCCTCTTCAGTGGGGTGCCTTCCTGAGGGATTGTCAAGAGAAGTTTTGACAATTTTTTTTCTTATGTGCTATTTTCAGAGCCTGACTTGTGTAAGCTGTGATCTCTCTGTATTCAAGTGTCTCCTGGTGCTCTCCACTGGCAGGTCCCACAAGCAGCTTCAATTTCATGTATTTTGAATTGATTTTGTTCCCCCAAAGCTTCTTGCTTCTCTAGTGCTTTCAGTTTGAGTGAGTAGTACCACTCTATGACCCAGCTGCCCAAGCCAAGAACCTTAGTTCCTTACGGTCCTTAAATCCTTCCCTTCCCATTAATTTCTTGTCAAGGCTATTCCTTAACTCTTTGTGCAGTCCATCCTCTTCATTAGGTCATCCTGCGTGGTTGTGATTTGTTGTCATTGTTTCCAAGCTGATTTCTCTGATTCTAACCTCCCTACCTCCTTCACCCCCCTGTCCCAAGCCCTATTCATTCTCACCACGTAGAGGGATATTAAAAAAACACAACTTGATAGTGTTACTTCTCTGTAACAAGAAACAACAACAGTCCACTGTTTAGCAGCTTCCCATTGCCCTCAGGATGAAGTTCATGGTCTTTACTAATGATTTTAAGGCCTCATGTGCTCTTGCAATGCTGACTAGAGAGCACACGGGGCCTTTCTAGCCATTCCTCTCCACAAACTCTCCTTTCCTGGCAAACAAAACTTGTTGATGGACACCATATTCTTTTTCACCCAGGGATCCCTGTGCAAGCTATATGCTCATCCTGCAACACTCTAATGTCTCCTTTTTTCTTGTCTAAGTCTTATATCTCCTTTAGTTCTCACTGAGGCATTAAAGCCTTTAGTGAGCCATCCCTGATTCCCCCAAATTAGATGCCTATCCTGTGCAGATGGAGCACCCTCTACTTCTTAGTATAGTAGCATTTGTCTTACTCTCCTGTAACTTCCTCTCCTTTATCTGTCTTCTCCATTACACCAGGATGGCACAATTGTAGGACCAAGAGGAGGGACTGTGGTTTTTTCATCGTTTGTATCTAGTACTATGCCTAGAACAGACACTGAGCACGTGGTTGTTGAATAAACAAACCAATGTTATGTTGAATTTCCCATCAGAATTCCCTGGAGTGTTTTCCCCCCTCTGGAGGGGTTTGGGAGCCAATCCTAAACTGGCATTCAGTAAATAAGAAGGGAGAGGATGGCTGTCATGGGGGAATTAAGGCATTCAACCTGAACACTGTTACTTTTTCTCAGAGTCTTGTTTTAAGCCTGAGGCTGAAGAGAAAGTCCTTGTAGAAGGGACCAGCAAAGCTATCATCTCATGATAGAGTGACACTATTAACTTGGGCAAATCCTTATTGATTTCTTGGGGTCTCGCTTCTGTCAGGTCTGGGTCTCAGAAGAGAGCTGGCATAGGATTATAGATATTATATAAATGTGCCTGTCTGTGTTCCATTCCATCACATTTTAAGAACTCGGCTGACCAGATGTGAGAAAACACCCATGCACTTAGTTGTGATTTTACAATGCATAGCTTTGGGTCACTTGAGTCCCATTCCTGCCTCTCCTATTCACACTATGGCCACTTGTCTACCTCCTGCAGGCCTCACTTCAGTAGCTCAGCTGGTTGGGTCTTATTGTCTTGCTCTATGCTTGGGTCTGAATTTTAGAGAGTGGACTTCTGCCTTTTTCTGAATTCTACTTCCCACCTATCCCTAGATCCTCCAGGAATGATGCCCTGCTTTGGTCTTGCCTGTGCCCAAAGTTCTTGCTATACTGATAGTGGCGATCACTTCTTCTGACCTGTCCCACAGTCAGTAAGCTCCCAGGCCCCCTCGCCTCAGTCCCAATTCTTATAGACCCCATGACATTGTCTTTGAAGAGTAGAATGCCAAGGCAGGTTGTGTAATCTCTACTTTCCAGAGCTCTCTGAAGATCTGCTTCTTGTCTCTGTCCCAAGGGTGAAGATGGATGACTGGTACCACCCAGTGATCTTCCCAGATGCACGGAACTTCCGCCCCTTCACTTCTGAATCTTTGGCTGCAATTGAGAAGCGGATTGCCATCCAAAAGGAGAAAAAGAAGCTCAAAGGCCAGACAGCAGCAGAACCTCAGCCTCGACCTCAGCTTGATCTAAAGGCATCCAGGAAGTTGCCCAAGCTCTATGGTGACATTCCCCGTGACCTGATAGCAAAGCCCCTGGAAGACTTGGACCCGTTCTACAGAAATCATAAGGTAGTTCCATGGGGAGGCTGGGGCATTTTAACCATGCAGCTGTAGCTTGTGTTACAAGGATATTCAAACACCGATCTTGGGGTTTGCAGGTGGCTGGCTGTACTTCTCCTTTGCCATTACCCTTTGTCATGACCTTCATAATCCTGAGAACCCCATTCAGTCCTCATTTTCTTTCCATAATGCATGTCTTAGAGAAAAGCATGAAGACTAGGGGCGGCAGAAAGGTTAAAACAAGAACAGGGACAATAAAATGTCAAGAAAGAAGATTGGCCTAGCAGTCAGAAAAGTTGGGTGTAGGCCATTTCAATGATTGACTTTATGACTTTGGGTAAATAACTTCACTAATCCTAATTTTTCTCATCTGCAAAATGGGGATCATGCCTGTTTCCTCTGCCTTCCAGCATAGATGTGCTTTGGAAGCACTTTATAAACTGTAAAGCATTATACCTATGTGAAGGATTGATATTGCTGTCCAGGATTGTCCAGTTTAGCAACAAGAGTTTACCCTGAAAACTTCTTAGAGTTTACCTCTAAAAAGCTTTAGGCAGTAGGCTTTGTAGGCTATTATTAGTCTTATGAAGGTCAAAACCTGAGAGCAGCAATTTTCAACCTGTGTACCTTGGCAAGCTGGTGTGCTGCAAGAATCTTTTAAACATGAAATATTTTAAATATTTTAAGTTAGACCCCTATTTAGTAAGGGGTCTAACTTCTTTTTTTTTCTCTCCCATTTTCTTCTTTTTTTTCTGTTTTTTTTTTACTAATTTATTTATTTTTCCAAATACATTTGTCTCTGCCTTCCCCCCACCACTTTCCCCTGCCCCCTCCCCCCCCCTCAATCCTTCCCCACTTTGGTTTTGTCCATGAGTCCTTGCTATAATTTCCTTGACTTGCCCCTTCCCTTCCCTTTCCCTCACCCACCCCTCCCTACTTCCCTCTTGTCTCTGTTGGTTTCTTTTTCTTTCAGTGTTGCTGGTCTTATTTTCCTTGCTTATTTGTTTTGCTGGTTAGGTTCCGCTTATAGGTGAGATCATATGGTATTTGTCTTTCACCCCCTGGCTGATTTCTCTTAGCATAATGCTCTCTAGTTCCATCCATGCTGTCGCGAAGTGTAGTAGTTCTTTTTTTCTTTCTGCTGCGTAGTATTCCATTGTGTATATGTACCCTAATTTTTTTATCCAATCATCTACTGATGGGCATTTAGGTTGCTTTCAACACTTGGCTATTGTAAATTGTGCTGCTATGAACATTGGGGTGCATAGGTCCTTTTGAATTGGCATTTTGGGATTCTTAGCGTATAGTCCCAGCAGGGGAATCATTGGATCAAAAGGCAGTTTTTCAGCTTTTTGAGGAAATTCCGCACTGCTTTCCACAATGGCTGCACCAGTCTGCGTTCCCACCAACAGTGTACTAGTGTTCCCTTTTCTCCACAGCCTCGCCAGCACCTGTTGTTTGTTGATCTGTTTATGATGGCCATTCTGACCAGTGTGAGGTGGTATCTCATTGTGGTTTTGATCAGCATTTCTCTGATGGCTAAATGCCAAGCATCCTTTCAAATGTCTCTGGGCCCTCTGTATCTCTTCCTTGGAAGAGCATCTGCCCAGGTCCTTTGCCCATTTTTTGATTGGATCATTTGTCTTCTTGGAGTGGAGTCGAGTGAGTTCTTTATATTTTGGAGATCAAACCTCTATCTGATGTATCATTAGCAAATATATTTTCCCATATGGTTGGCTCCCTTTTCATTTTGCTGATGTTTTCTTTAGCCATGCAGGAGTTTCTTATTTTGATGAGGTCCCACTTGTTTATTCTTTCCTTTATGTCCCTTGCTTTAGGAGACATATCGGTGAAAAACTTGCTGCATGGGATATCTGAGAGTTTCCTGCCAGTGTTCTCCTCTAGGACTTTTATGGTATTGTGACTTACATTTAAGTCTTTTATCCGTCTTGAGTTTATTTTTGTGTATGGTGTCAGCTGATGATCAAATTTCAATTTTTTGCATGTAGCTGTCCAGCTCTCCCAACAGTATTTGTTGAAGAGGCTATTATTACTCCACTTTATGCTTCTGTCCTCCTTGTCAAATATTAGTTGCCCATATAGACCTGGGCTTATTTCTGAGCCTTCTATTCTGTTCCACTGGTCTATGGGTCTGTTCTTGTGCCAGTACCAGATTGTTTTGAGTATTGTGGCTTTGTAATATAGTTTGATGTCTGGTATTGTGATACCTCCTACTTTGGTGTTCTTTCTCAAAATTGCTGCAGCTGTTTGGGGTTGTTTATGGTTCCATATAAATTTTTGAAATGTCTTTTCTATTTCTGTGAAATACATCATTGGTATCTTAATAGGGATTGCGTTGACTCTATAAATTGCTTGGGGTAGTATGGACATTTTGATGATATTAATTCTTCCAATCCATGAGCATAGTATATGTTTCCATTTATTTGTGTCTTCCTTAATTTCTCTCTTCAATGTTGTATAGTTTTCTGCATACAGGTCTTTTACCTCCTTGGTTAAATTTATTCCTAGGTACTTTATTTTTCTTGTTGCTATATTGAATGGTATTTTTTTTTTCTGATTTTCTTCTTCTTCTATTTCATTGCTGGTGTACAGAAATGCCTTTGACTTCTGAATATTGATTTTGTATCCTGCTGTTTTGCCAAATTCACTTATTAGGTTGAGTAGTTTTTTGGTGGAGGCTACAGGGTTTTCTATGTACACTGTCATGTCATCTGCAAACAATGATAGTTTTACTTCCTCCTTTTCTATTTGGATGCCTTTTATTTCTTTTTCTTGTCTGACCACTGTGGCTAGGGCTTCCAATACCATGTTGAATAGAAGTGGTGAAAGCGGACATCTTTGTCGTGTTCCTGATCTTAGTGGGAAAGCTTTTAGTTTTTGCCTGTTGAGTATGATGTTGGCTGTAGGTTTTTCATATATGGCCTTTATTACGTTTAGGAATGCCCCATTTATTCCCATTTTGCTGAGTGTTTTGATCATAAATAGGTGCTGTACCTTATCGAATGCTTTTTCTGCATCTATCGAGATGATCATGTGGTTTTTGTCTTTCCTTTTGTTTATGTGATGTATTATGTATATTGATTTGCATATATTGAACCATCCCTGCATCCCTGGGATGAACCCCACTTGATCTTGATGGATGGTCTTTTTAATGTATTGCTGGATGTGGTTTGCCAATATTTTGTTGAGGATTTTAGCATCTATGTTCATCAGTAAAATTGGCCTGTAGTTTTCTTTCTTTGTAGGGTCTTTATCTGGTTTTGGGATTAGGGTGATGCTTGCCTCATAAAAAGAGTCTGGGAGTCTTCCCCCCTCTTGGATTTTTTGGAATAGTCTGAGAAGGAGAGCAGTTAGCTCTTCCTTAAATGTTTTGTAAAACTCTCCTGGGAAACCGTCTGGCCCTGGGCTTTTGTGTGCTGGGAGTTTCTTGATTACTGCTTCAATTTCCCCAGCTGTTATCGGTCTGTTCAAGCTTTCTGTTTCTTCCTCCTTCAGTGTTGGAAGATTATACTCTTCTAGAAATTTGTCCATTTTGTCAAGGTTTTCAAATTTCTTGGCATATAATTGTTCATAGTAGTTTCTTACAATCCTTTGTATTTCTGTGGTATCAGTTGTTATTTCTCCTCTTTCATTTCTGATATTATTTATTTGGGTCCTCTCCCTTTTTTTCTTGATGAGTCTGCTTAAAGGCTTGTCGATTTTATTTATCTTTTCAAAGAACCAGCTCCTGGATTGGTTGATTCTTTGAATTGTTCTTTTCATCTCTATGTCATTCAGTTCTGCTCTAATCTTGATTATTTCCTTCCTTCCACTTGCTCTGGGATTTACTTGTTGTTTTTTCTCCAGTTCTTGAAGTTGTAGTGTTAGGTCTTTTATTTGAAATGTTTCTATCTTTTTTAGGTAAGCCTGTATTGCTATGAACTTCCCTCTCAGGACTGCCTTTGCTGTGTCCCATAGGTTTTGGACTGTTGTCTGTTCATTTTCATTTGTTTCCAGAAACTTTTTGATTTCTTCTCTTATCTCATTATTGACCCACTCATTGTCTAATAGTCTACTGTTCAGTCTCCATGAGTTTGCAAGTTTTTAAGGGTTCTCTTTGAGGTTGATTTCCAGTTTCAAGCCCTTGTGGTCCGAGAAAAAGCTTGGTATTATTTCAATTTTCCTGAATTTTCTGAGGCTTGCTTTACGTCCTATCACATGGTCTATGTTTGAAAAAGTTCCATACGCATTTGAAAAGAGTGTGTATTTTGCTTCTTTGGGAAGTAAGGTTCTATATATGTCAGTTAAGTCCATTTGATTTAGTGCGTCATTCAGTTCCACAATATCCTTGTTGATGTTTTGTTTGGAAGATCTGTCCATTTTTTACAGTGAAGTGTTAAAATCCCCTACTATCAGTGTGTTGCTATCTATATCTTTTTAGAAGTTGTCCAAGACTTTCCTTATATATTTGGGTGCTCCTATGTTGGGTGCGTATAAGTTTACAGTGTTTATGTCTTCCTGATAGACTCTTCCTTTAAGTATTATAAAGTGTCCCTCTGGGTCTCTTTTTATGGCCTTTGTTTTGAAATCTATTTTGTCTGATATAAGTATTGCTACTCCTGCTTTCTTCTCTTGCCCAGTTGCTTGAAATATTTTTTTCCATCCCTTTACTTTCAATCTGTGTAGGTCTTTTGTTCTGAGGTGGGTCTCTTGTAGGCAGCATATGTGTGGGTCATATTTTCTTATCCATTCAGCTATCCTGTGTCTTTTGATTGGGGCATTTAGTCCATTTACATTGAGATATTATTGATAGAAAAATATTCATTTTTTCTCTTTGTACCTGTATTTTTCTCTTTCTTACACTTTACCTTCATCTTCTTAAACCAGTCCCTTTAGCATATCTTCTAGTGGTTGTTTGGTGGAGACATATTCTTTTAGCCTTCTTTTGTCTGGGGAACTCCTTATTTCCCCTTCTATTTTAATTGAGAGCCTTGCTGGGTAGAGCAGCC